GACGAATGAGCTTGAAAATCATCTTGTGAAAAAACATAGTCTCTGAAGCCACAGTGAAGCCTGCTTTGTAGGACTTTTGGAAATTCGCTCAACTGTGGTCTGCTTAGAAACGGTAGTTTAGCCCAGTAATGTTAATTAATTAACACCTTTCAATGTTTTAAGTGATTTTTATGCTACCCTTTTCTTTATAAATGCTAGCTTTAAAAAAATTCACATTTCTCATGGTCTTTTTAAGGCACCATACTGAAAATACTTATAGGCGAGGACTAGGCATGCAATGGAAAATACATACCACTAACAGAAATTCACTTGAATTAAGTGAGCATATAACCAGAGTAGGAGCCCTGGCTTGGGATCTAGTGGTTATGTATTGGGCTGCTAACCACAAGGTCAGCAGTTCGAAACCACCAGCCTCACTGCAGGAGAAAGGTGGGGCTTTCTACTCCTATAGAGAGTTATAGTCTCAGAAACCCACACGGGCAGTTTTATCTTGTTCTACAGGGCCTCCATGAGGTTTTTTTTTTTTTAATAGTAATCAGAGTAACATATAATCAGGCTAATAAAAGAAGGTGCTGCCCATTTGATAAAGAAACATTTAAAAAATTCCAATGCAGTTAAGATTTTAACCTCCCTCCACCCCCATTTTGGAAAAGAAACAATTGTCCAAAAGAATTTCATATATACGTTCTTTGAATTTTAAAAAATTTAGTCACTGGAATCCTAAAAAGAAGGTTTTGCATCTTAACCGCCAATGGTGGAGCTACAGTGAGAGAAGAATCAAGGAAGAATTGCTATCACGTGTTCATGGTGATGGTTTCTGCTGCTTTACAGGGAGTCCTTTTTGCTTTCTCCCAAACCTTAACACTTTGTAAAGAAGGTCACTCCACCAACACAGGGCTGCCCTCCCAGCTTTCACATGAATGAGAGTGCGAGACCCTTCAGAGAAAGAGAGAACCTTGTCCAATAAAGGAGCCCTGGTGGTGTAGTGGTTACACGTTGGGCTGGGATCCACATGGTGGGAAGTTCGAAACTAACAGCACCTCCGAGGGGGAAAAGACTAGGCTTTCTACTCCCGGCAACAGTTAGAATCTCAGACACCCACAGGGTTCCCTATGAGTCAGCATTGACTCCATGACAGTGAGAGAGTCCCTTAACGGAGTCCTGGGCTAGTAGGTGGGTACAGTGGGCTGCAAACCATGGAGTCCTTTTTAACCTAGCAATTCAGGAAGAGCAATAGTGCAAAACGGTGCCCATTTATTATTATAAACCACTAGGCCAGCAGTTTAAAAGCACCAGCCGCCCCATGGGGGAAAGATGAGGCATTCTATGTACAAAGGACACACAGCCTCAGACACCCCCAGAGGCAGTTCTCTGACCTGTAGGACCCCTGCAACATGGGATTGCCTCGACAGCAGTGAGAGTTCATTAAATGAAAAAGCAAAAGAGAAGTGAATTATACATGATTGTTGGCACACATGTGCATGCTACTGTTTTCTAGCAAATGTTTGGAAGCCCACACAAATATCACGCAAAAGAAAACGATTGGACTGAAAGATAAAAGATAAGAAAAACAGTGAACCTGCTGAAAATAGTTTGGAAAAATCGGAGTTTTCTCCCAATAAGATGAAATCCAAAGAGAGATGCATTTCTGTTTTGTTCTCTCAACTTCAGATCGAGAGAGAGAGAGAGAACTCTTTCTTTACCCATTTCAATGCGTTCTGTGAAATCTTTCTTGTAGAACCTGTAGAAAAACACCATGCATTTCTATTTTAAAGTTACTTTTGAAATCCCAGAGTACGAAATGCCCAACCTTTTGTTGCATCCAATGAGTTGAAAACGAAGAGAAATGGGCCACGAGGGATGCTTTGAACTTTTGAGGAACATACTCTGAAGATTTCTATGTCATTACCCTGTAATACTTCATTCAATTCTGGGAAGAACTTTCTGAAGAGTATTAACTTTTGACCTTCTGTCAAAGAAACTCCCACTATCGTACATTTTCATCAATGAGCATTCTGTTTGAGCTGTCTGAAAATCTCCTTGCAGTTAGAACTAAGTCTTTAGGGCTAATTGTTCTTTAAAAATTGGGTGTTTGTTGGTCTGAAGCTGTGTGTGTGTGTGTGTGTGTGTGTGTGTGTGTAACAGAGATAGTGGAGCAGAGAGATGGCAGGTGGGAGTGGGAGAGAGAGAGAGGAGGAGGAGATGGAGGAAGAGTAGATGCTGATGATGGATAAGAAGAAAAAGATGGAGAAGAAGGAGAAATATAAGGAGAAGGAGGAGGAGAAGAAAAGAGCAAATGAATCGAATACTGGTATTTATTGTTTCCTGCCACGTTGCACACTCCAGAATCACTGAGCTTTGGTGAGTTAAACCGATGAAAGATTTGCTTCGTTCATTTGCCATGTAGTCAGCCCCGACACCAGTTTTGCTGGTGGTCTGGCCGATTTTCACCCTCTTGCGATCCCTATCATAGTTAGGAAAGTGAAAAAATTTCAAAGTAACAGGCAACATGTGTGTTTTCAAATGAGTGCAATTCTGACATTCTCAAATGTGTAAAATCTACACCTTTTAAACTACTTTCCCCTTCCTATTACAATATCGAATTGGCTTCCAAGTCAAGACTAAAGAGCTATTTTCAAAACAATAGCAGAAATTAAATGTCCACTTTGTCAAGCTTACACATCATTGCATTTATTAGGACATGACCTAACAAAGTCATGCCGATGGGCCTGAGCACAGTAGGCAAGGCCTCAGTGTCACCCTGTGAAGCCATCCCTCTTGAACTAGAGTTGACCTTGTCCTTAAAGCTTCTTATTTATGTATTACAGAGGCTACAGAGTGGCAGAGTAGGAATCTAATGGATCATTTTGTGACGAGTCTCTGATGATGCTAGAGGGTTATAAGAAGAGTCTCATCCTTGGAAAACAGTGGGCTTATCTGCTACACAGCTGCAAAGAATACGTGCTGCCACCCACATGTTTGTAATGCATCTCCTCCGGGTGGGTTTAAGAACAGTTCTATTAATTGTTGGTTTGAAATACCATGTCTTACGTCTGAGAAAAGAATGAGGTTGTTTTAAATGGAAAAGGAGTAGGTGCTAAAGAGATTTAAAATTCTGAGCTGCTTTTAAGATGTGTCTTATTTCATTGTGTGTATGTACCAAGTTTATTTATTCCTCTACAGCCAGAGTTTTTGATTGTTTCCATATTTTTGCTTTCATGGAAATGGCTCCACTAAACATGTGGCTGTGAATATGAAATAAAATAAACTACAATGTCATTCTGGTGCGTGGTTATGCCTGGTGCATCTCCGAATGCAGAGCCTATCTCCTTGAGCCCAATGAAAAGCGGAATTCAACGATAACCACCACCCAGGTCCTTGAGTGCTTCTGGTTCACATGGCTAAGAGAACCCTTTTTTATTAATTTTATCTTTTATCTATTTATGTATTTGGTTTTATTATATACTAGCAACAAGACCTTGTTTTAATTGAGGGCAAAAGCTACTGAGCATCTCAGGAGATGTAGTTGCTTACACACGGTTCTCTTTGGGAAGATGCTTTATGTACTAATCTTTAACATACTGGATGGTTCTCTAAACACGGGTTAGATCCAAAAACATTGGTCTGATCCTTTTTCCCACTAAAATGTGTCAATGTTCAGTAGGTAGACACGGGAAAATGCTGGAAGCTATTCAAGAAAACTATTACTTTAATAAAACTCTTATCTTTTGGATGCATTCTTCCCACTTCTTACAAGCTCTCTTTTTTAAAGTGAAAGAAGGAAGGAAGGAAGGAAGGAAGGAAGGAAGGAAGGAAGGAAGGAAGGAAGGAGGGAGG